TGACAAATCGTTTTGGAAAATCGATTTTAATCAAAAAGCGCCAAACATGGACTGCTTTGCCAGATTTCAGAGTTGCCACCTAAATATTTTGATATGGGGAAATTTAGGAATCCCTGACTCGTGCCTAAGGCCACGTGTCCGTCATCACCAAAGTTGCCTCGGCTTAGGAACTTGTGTACAAGAGGGGAATGTCATGCAATGAGCACCCCTGCTCGCCCGATCAAAGGATCGACCTTTATTAACATGATATGTTATTTTTGAAAACACGTGTTCTTATTCCAGTTTATTAGCTAGCTTACTACGTGATGCGCACATCAAATAAGTATAGACTAGATCGCTTAAATTGGAACAAAACATCTCAAGTTTGTTTTTCAAAAATGGTTCGAAGTTGCTACTTGAAGGTAGGCTAAGACGTGGATTTGCCACCCTCAAGTGGGCTTAGGAAAACATGATTTTGCCACTCCGCGAAGTGGGCTTAAAACTCACACTTTGATGAATTGTTCCAATTCAAACAATCCAACCTTCATCCGCAGGCATTCATGCAATTAAACATATAAACAGTTAGCTTGATGGCAAGCATGCTATCACGGCAACACTTACAGGCATGCAAGGATGCTAAAGCATAAACACTCATAATGTACTCCAAGCCAAAACAGAAGCTAGTTAGTAATCAATGCATGATCCTAGCTATGTGAATAATGCCTAATGCAACACATGCAAAACGCAACTAAGTAGGCTCAGCTCTCTAAGATGGCATATGAATGCAATACTCGATAACATGCTTTGAAACATGTATTCAAGTAAGTATTGAAATACGATGCAGTTTGAATAATGCATCGAGCCCAGTGCATGCAATACGAATGAATGATGCACACATGCAAAGCATAAGTATGCTAATTGAAACATGCCCTAAACTAACCATCAAAAGCGGATAAGTAAAAGGGTGAAAGACGTGGGGTTGGAAGACGCTTATTACAACATTTGCCCTCTCGACAATGGGTTAAAATAAAATGAAAGCTAACTAGCTATGCTAATTAAGAAAACTATTAAAAACCAACTAATTAACTAACTATTCTAGCTAATTAATTATTACAAACCAAATTAAATAACTAGCTAATCTAAGCTAATTAAAATATTACAAAGCACTAAGCTAAATTAATTACAACACGGGTAATTAACTACAACTAGCTAACAGAAGCAATAAATGGCCTCGCGGGCGAGGAAGAAATGCACACTCGGTTGCGTCCTCCCGGAAATCCACCGCTTTGCCTCAAGACGCCTCTGTTTGCACTCTTTTGAATCTTTGAAAATTACACCGATTTCCAAATTGCTTCTTTCTGATCTCAAGAACACCTTAATGGCTGAAATTCCTCCTGTTGCTGCAACAGAGCACAGACAGAGGCAAGACAGTGTATTTGCAAGGAAATGTATGCACTTCCACACTCCTTATCATATCTCAAGCTCAAAGGAGTATGGCACTTGACTCTCGAGCCAACAACCAAGCATTTTTAATGCATGGTGGCCAAAGGATCAAGCTTGTGCAAAACTCAATGAATGCACACATAAGACTTGAAAGGCCTTCACCCTATCATGCACAATCAAGGGCGTAGGCGACGGAGAAATGTGACATGTTTCATCACTATGAGTATGAGACGTCCCACATTTCTTGTGTTTGGATTAACGTCCGATCCAAACACATGCAATAAACACAACATGCTTATCTTGGCCATGTTTTACTTGATTCATTTTGTTTACACATTTTAGATTACCAATTAGTCCCTTAATTGGTTAAGTCCAAAAGTGAGAGTCCTTTAGGTTTGAAAGAGTGAATTAGTGGGATGCAATGGCATATATTTCAGCATTGAAATGACATGCTAAAGACGCTAAATCATGCAAGACATGCATGCAAGACATGTTAAAGGCCAAAAACACTAAGGTTAGTGAAGAGCATCACACAAGAGGCATGCAATATCAAGCACAAATGGTCAAACCAGCTATGGACAGACCTAAAACATGCCAAATCAAAGGCCAAAACATGCTGAAATGATAGCCCAAAAGCTTAGACAAACATGCATGCAAGTTGGCTCACAAGTGAAGCATAAGGCCCAAACCTCAAACACAACAAAAGGGAAATAAATGCAAGAATATGGCAGAGGTATATGGTCTGAAATAACATGCCAAATGATGCTATGCCATGCAAAAAGCTCAAATATGACATGCCAGAGGTCTCAAAGTGCAAGGCTAGCAAAGCCAAATACACTATAGCTATGCAAAGCCAAGCATGCATGACCAAAACCACTCAAATCAGACCTAAAGCATGCTAAAACATAGCTAAAAATATTCTGGAGTAGAGCATACACATGCTAGATCAATAGGCTAAAACACCAAATACACTAGGCTAGTGAACAAAATTGCACTACAAGTGCAAGGAGCATGTAAGAGGAAACCAAACCAATCCAAAACAGAGTTATGACATGGAAAATAATGGCTAAAAACATGCTAAAATGGAGCCAATTCAAAGCATAAAGACATGATACTTTGCAAGGCTGCAAGTAGGATTACACTACAAGTACAAGAAGCATGCAAGAGATGACCAAGACAGCCAAAAAATGAGTTATGACATGGCAAATAATGGCTAAAAACATGCTGAAATGGAGCCAATTCAAAGCACAAAGACATGCTACTTTGCAAGGCTATAAGTAGGATTACACTACAAGTACAAGAAGCATGCAAGAGGTGACCAATACTGCCAAAAATAGAGTTATGGTAGGTCTAAAAAGTCACAAAAATGAGCCTACACAAAGCCACTAAGAAGTAGAAACACATGCTCTTTTGATGGGCCATCAACATATGCAAACAAGAGAAGAGGAGGGGGGGACCACCCCCACCCATTTGGGACCTCAAAACCACCTTTCCACCACTGAAATTCCTCTGAGTTTCAGTGGTAAGAAGGCCAAAAAGAGATGGTCCCAAAGGCCTTAAGAGATGGCACAAATCAAAGCAAAACAAGCCACCAAAGGGGGTAAACCACCCCTAACTCAAAGAAAGCCTCAAACAACCTTTTTAAACACTTTAAAATAAAGGTTTTTGTAGTTGAAAACAAAGCCTAGAATAGCATGCAAAGGTGGCTAAATAAGCAATGAAAATAAAGCTTTAAAGAGGCTATTTCTCACCCTTGAAGCATAACTTCAAAACCAGTAACTTCTGAGGAAAAATCAGGTCAAAACCACTCAAATAAGGCTCAGAAGTACCTTAGCAACAAGATGAAGGTGCTTGAGTAGGTGTTTGTGTGCAAAAGTATGAATAAACAACCCTTTAAGGCACAAATATGGAGAGAGAGGGAGAATTCTAGAGAGAGAGGGAGAGTTTTTGCCCTTTAAAATTCTGAACCTCTCTCAAGGGGGAGACATCTCCCCTTATATAGAAATGCAAGCCAAAGCTTGCTCAAATCCCTCCCTACACATGTAGAGAGGATGCATTTTGTGCCTAATAACTGGCATAGCTGGCACCAAAAATATCTGCAAAAGCAGAAAAAAGGTCGTACACCATTTAAAGTGGTCGACCAACCACCCCACCTAGTCGACCGACCACCTCAGGTGGTCGACAGGGGAGAAAACTAGCTGGCAGGGTAGAAAAAGGGTCTACAAAGAGAGGAGAAGGTGGTGGCAGGCTGCAGACCACTTAGGCTGGTCGACCGACCACCCACCCTAGCTGACCGACCACCAAAAGTGGTCTACAGGGGAGAAAACTGGCTGTCAGGGGAGAAAAGTGGTCTACACCCCTACTTCTCCCTCCAGGCAGAAGGGGGGGACCATAGGTTAGCTTAGAACAAACACAAAACCAAGAAAGTTCAGAGAATCAGAGGCAAGGCGCGCAGTCGACAACCCTGGGGACTCCAAACGAGTGCAAAAATGCGCAATCATCGAGCACTCAGTCGATGACATCCAAGTCTTTAGGACGGTCAAAAATGGGGTGTCTACAAGGACCTAAAGATTTCCAGGTCATGAACCAACTCCCAGAACCTGTATATGAACCTGTTAAAGATAATCTTTAATTACATTCGCACTTTAATAGAATCCTTTCCTTTTATTACTTGTATCTATCTTCTGACAATCTGTCAACACTTCAAGATTGCTATGAACTCCCAACACTTTCTGTGAGCCCATAAAGCAAGGAAATTTATTGCCAAGAGAAATTATGGAAGAAAAAGGATCCAGCATCTATCCTTTTAAAAGCTATGGTGGATGCAAGCTGGGATTGGATTAGACATTGACTTATCTGTGTTGTTTAATTCTTCATTGAAACAAACACCCATGAATTTGAAAAAACAAATCTGTAGTAAAACTGGGGGCTAAGTGGATTCAGAACCTACAACAGAGTAAGAACCTTGTTTAATACTTTGTATACTTGAAACCTAAGGCATCTCCAATTCATAACACAAAACCTATATCAAATTTAAATTTGGATAAAAATCACTTAAAAAACCTCTCCACTCAAACTAATATCAATTTGAGTTTTACCCAATGTTTTTATCCTAATCAAGGGAAGACTCAAATGTTACTCAAAATTTTCAAGACCCTTTTGTAACTTCCAAATATACAACTCTGTCAGCACTGAAGATTTACTCAAATTTATACTTCAACCGGATTTTGTCCATTGGAGTGTTTCATCTATCTATCGATCTATCTATCTATCTATACTATTATAAAGAGAAGGCTCAACTTGGTGTTTGTCTCAATTTTTCGATTTTCCCAAAGTGTCCGTATATAGCAATTAGGTGGTTAGTTATGCCCTAAATTCAAGGTTTTTTATTTTTATTTTTTTCCAAATCTGTTCCCCTCTGATTTCAGAATTTGAATTCAATCATATAGTTTACAGTTTTATTTTTCTAAAATAAAATGACACCACTTCTAGTATCAAATAAAGCTTTTACTCAAATTAGAGTAAATTTTACAACTTGAGATCAAAACTCACCCAAATTTAAGCAAATTGGATACATCACATCAGTTAAAAAGTCATAAATTTTTTATACCTTTCAATCACATATTCATGGGGAGCACAGGTTATATAAAATAGAAATTTTTAGCAAACTAATCAATATTAAACATATTGCAATATAATGTAAACAAGGGAAAAGAATTCTACAATGTTGAATTGCAGCAGTAAGATGTACAATATGGTCAACTTAGCTATCACAAAAGGCTGGGACGATCATAGAATATCAATTTGATGAAGATTAACAGTGGCACTATGGAACTTATTTAAAATCTGAAGATGAAAAGTAAAAACCTTAGATTGTTTCTGAACAAAATGTTCAAGGCGCAAGCATAAGACCAAGGCTATCGAAGCACACTGTTTGAATCTGAAACCCAACCAAAGATCATTTCAGTTATATAAATAAGATACAAAGCACAATACACTGCATATGATAGGAAATCTATAACCTGTGCGTTTGCAGAAACTTCACCAAGATTATCTACTACTGCAAAACTTCGATGAACAACAGTCTACAAATCCAAAAATGACAACATTTAGACTCCATGTAATAAGGTGAAAGCCAACTTTATGATTATCCAACAAATAAAATTCTGAACATCAGACTGCTCAGAATTAGAATTTATCTAGCGGGTAAATCAGCTGAAAACATTCATATCATATCATTAACAACTAAAAATCCTTGAGGAATAACAGTGAGCCAAATCGGTCCACCTAGGGCGCCAGGACCAACCGATAACAAGGCCGATCATGACAGCGAGCCAAATCGGGACTGAGGAGAGTAAAGCGTCAAGGAATGTCTCGGCGAGGCCTGGGCAGTGTAGAAAATAGATCAAATCGAAGAAGCTCTGCTCCATTATCGATCGGTGTCTATACAGATACGTGTATGTACATGAGAGAATCGATAAATATACATATATGTATATGTATATACAAAGTAGAAGAGATAAGAAGATGAGGTGCTAAGCCATGGAAGCTTGCATAGATGGTGGTGGCGGTGGAGCTTTGAAATTGAGAGAGAAGAGAAATCAAAATCGCTCTGAGATGAAATCAAAGATGAATCTCTGAGAGAGAGATCTAGAGAGAGAATCGAAATCGGGGTGGCAGTGCAGACCGATCTGAATCGAAATCGCGGTGGCGATGCAGATCGATCTGAAATCGGTGAATCTGTGAGATTTGAATCGGTGAATCTATGAAATCGGTGAATCGATGAATCTCGCTACCTCGCCGGTGCAGATGGCGGTGGAGGTAGAGCTTCGAAATTGGTGAATCTGTGAGATTTGAATGTGAGATTCAATGTTTAGAGAGGATTGAGAGAGAGGCGACGTGAGGATAAGGGTTAGAGAGGATTGAGAGGTCTGAAGACCTAAGGGTTTACAAAGGCTTTATTATCAGATTCAAAATAAGCGCGTGTGACGTACCGCATTTGAAGGCGTTTTTAAACGCCTTTAATCATAAAACGGTGTTGTTTTAATTAAACAAATATGCGACGTTTTTAAAACGTCGTTAAATATTAATAAAAATGACGTTTAAGAAAACGCCGTTAAAAAAACGTCGCCAAAACCCTTATTTCTTGTAGTGATAAGTGTGTATACATTCATAAATCGTAATCCTGAATATATAGCATATGCCAATTGTAAATGAATTTAACAAAGGATGTACATTGGGTACAACAAAAGTGAGTTAAACTCAATAAAAATAAAGCCCAAGGTGTAACGCCCTGAAATAATGATAATCACCCACATCATAACATCTTGTAGAATTGATCAATAACATCATATATGATATTTCCATTTATACTCCTTGTTCATACAAAAGATGACATATGCGTGTATACATTCATAAATCCTAGATCCTGAATCTATAGCATATGACCTGTGTATATGAATTGAAATAAAAGAAAGCTCAAGTAAGATTTATGCCCTAATGGTTACATTTTTCCAAGTCCATGCTTGGGTACAACCAAATGAGTTCAACTCAATATAGTGAAAGCCCAAGGCTTGTACAAAAATAATTACATCAAATAAATAAAAGAAAGCTCTTGGCTCCATGTCCTTCCAAGCTATGTGTAGACACCCCATATTTTCTAGCCATTTATAGCTTAATTCCAGCATGTTTTAACCTCTAATTGGAATATTTTAACTCTGTTTTGGGTTGGTTAAGTTATTTGAGTCTTGTTTTGCATGCTTCTAGTGTAAGTGTCCTCACAAGCTTGGTGTTTTAGGCCTTTAGACACCACTTGTTTGAGTTGATTGCATTGTTTTAGTGTTTTTCTCACTTAATTTCAGCAAGCATAATCTCTGCAACCTCCTTCATTTCTTCACTCTTTGTTTGCTTTGAGGGTTGTTTCAACCTTGGGATTGTTTAAGCTTGAGATTGAGGTCTATGCTTAATGGTTTAATCCTCTTTTGGGGTTCATTATCAACGGCATAACACCTCTCTCTTGCCTTAAACTACCCATTGTTTGACACTTCCTTCTCTTTTAGAGGATTCAACTCACTAATCGACTTAATTGGTTAAAGAATGGAAGGATAATTAAAAGGAGTAACTAAAAGTTGAAACTAAAATTGTGCAAAGATAAGAATTTGATTGTGTCTTGGTGTGTTCAATCGGACGTTAATTGAACACATGAAACTTGGACCATTTCATACTTGCTAGTGATGAAATGATCCAAGTCTCCATGGTCAACCACTTCCCTTGATCTTTCATGAAAGGGAGGAGGTTTGTGTCTTTTTTTCTTGCATTTATTGAACTTGCACTCTTGGGTTCACAAAAAATCATGCAATGAAATTGCTTGAATTGGTGGTTTGTGGCTTCGGTTCACCACTCCTTGGATTTGTTCATAAAAATGAGAGGTGAGTTGTGCAGTCAATCCTGGAAAATACCCTGTATATGCTCTGTTTGTCCTCTGTTGCAGCAAGATGAAACTAGGCATCAGTGGCCGGTAGGTGGCTTGTAGACCACCTCCATGGCCGGTTGGTGGCTGGTAACCTTCATCTGCCGACTGGCCACTGATGCAAAACTCAACAGAGTGTTGGTAAAGTGGAGCAAAGTTGTTCTGAAAATGTTCAACTATGCAAACAAAGGCATTCGGGAGCAAAACAGTGGTCTTTTCGGGTGGAATCCGAGCATACGCATGCACATCCCTCATTTTCCCGAGGCGGAGTACTTAGTTGCTTAGTTTAATTACTTATTTTAATTACACTTGTGTTGTAATTATTTAATTAGTTAGTTAATTAGTTAGTTAATTCAAGTGTTGTAATAATTAGTTTAGTAGTTTAGCTAGTTATTCATTTTGTTTTGTAACAGTTAGCTTAATTAGCTTTAGCTTAATTAGTTGCTAGTTAGCTTAGCTTATTCATTCAGACTCTCCTTCATGTGAGCGTAATGTAATAATGTGTATGTCTTCCAACCCCACATCTTTCTCCTTTTTATTCACTAGCTTACAATGGTTAGTTTAGGGACATCATGTTTTGTTTAGCATACTTTATGTTTGCATCCATTTGTATTGCATGCGCCGAGGCTCGGTTCATTATTCTAACTGCATTGTTAGTTCAAATACTTATTTGAATAGGTGCTTAGACCGCATGCTATTTCATTGCTTCATATGCCATATTAGTAACCGAGCATATTAGTTGCATATCGCATGTGTTGCATTAGTCATATTGCATAAGTTAGGTATCATGCATAATTTTCTAACTCTTTTGTTTTCTCTTAGCTTGGAGTACTAGGTGAGTTTTTAGTGCTTTAGCATACTTGCATGAGTGTGAGTGACTGCCATGACTAGCATGCTTGCCATTAGGCTAAGTGCTTAAGTGCTATAACTGCTTGAATGCCTATGGATGAAGGTTATTTGCTTGAATTGAAATAATTCGAGTAATGTTCATATGCGATCACTTTTTCAAGTGGTACATATTCAAAACAACTTTCGAAACAAACATGACTCGAAGTGTTCAAATTCTTGCAAGTTAGTCTATACTTGTATGTGCGCATCACATAGTAATGCTAGCCTAATAAACCGGAACAAGAGCATATAATGTACATAAGATTTATATCATGATTAGTAGAGGCCAATCTTTGATCGGCCGAGAGGGGGTGCTAAATTCATGACCTTCCCCTCTTGTACCTAAGTTCCTGAGCCGAGACAATCTTGGTGATGACGGACACGTGGCCTTTGGCACGAGTCATGGATTTCCTAAATTTCCTAAAAAATAAAATATTTAGGTGGCGACTCTATATCTGGCAAAGCAGTCCATTTTTGGCATTTTTGATTCAAAATCAATTTTTTAAAAGATTTGTCGGATTTGGACTTTTTGGTGTTTATCAATTTCATATTGCACTTGTGAGATTAGATTCAAAACCGCAGGAGTCCGAACTGTAAGACTTATTTCGAACTTCCGAAAGGGAGGCACGAAAAAGTTGAGCTACAAGTACGGCGATGGATTATGAGGACACCGCGGAACTGCTTTGCTTATACGTTTGTGTGAAGTTGTTTTTTTCAACTTATGGAGAAACTATAAGCTGGGAATTTATCCGGTACATGGACAATTTGGATGTGATGAAGTTATACGATTGAATTGGTGCGATACGTGGTACGTTGATGTGTTCTGTTATGGACTTTTATCAGACACCACATAAAGTAACCGGATGTGTGATTGCTTTGCTGTTAAGTGTATTGAACAATTTATTATTGGTATTCATGTCGTACTATTTTTTTTTTTTTTTTTTTGGGTGTTGTTGGGGTATGTAAAGATGTTTTTTTTACTTCCATTCAGTTTGTTGATTGCTTTGGTCCGTTTTGTAGTATTAGTTATGTGAACACACATCAATAGTGGAAGCCAAATATGCACACATGTTCCCGAGGTTCCTGAAGTGGAACGTTAGTGAGTTGTTAGCCAGTGCACGTTGTGTGAAGTTGTTGGGCCAGTTGTAGACACCCCATTTTTGACCGCCCTTACGACTTGGACGTCATTACTTGCATACCTAATGATGAATGTGTATATACTTGTCAAATGCTCGGAGTCCTTAGCAGAATGCCACAACTTTGAGCCATTCAAACCCTACACACCTATTGCCTTATTTTTGGACCAAAACCAGAGATTTTCAAGCCTGCAACCTCTTTTGACCTGCCGGCCACAAGTGTGTTTTGCAAATATTTTTCTGGCAGTTGTGCCAGCTATTGGCACAGATGCATGCACCTTCTTACATGTGTATGTATTGATATTTCTGAGGGAGTTGCATGGTTTTTTACATATAAGAGGCCTCCCCTTCCATTTTCAAGGTTGGAATTTTTAGAGAAAAAATTTTATTTTTCTCTCTCTCTCTTGCAATTTCTTAGCTTTTTGCAAGTTTTTGCCTATACACTTTAAATCAAACCTCACCATCTTTGAGTTGAGGTACCTTTGAGCCTAGTTTGAGCTCTTGAGGGTGTGTTTGCCTTGATTTGTTGCCTAGAATTGGTTCTCCTCTTCAAGAGGTATAAAGCTTTGCTTTTCTTCTTGCTTTATTTACTCTTTTTCTTACTGTTTTTCCTTTGTTTTTGAGCCGTATAAACTTTGTCTTTTTGGGTTGAAACTTGTGGTTTAAGGCCTCAAAGGGTGAAAGGGTGGTTCACCATTCTTTCCACTTTGCTCTTCTAGCCTTTATCCTTGTGTTTCCCATCTTTACACCATCTCTTTTTGAACTTTTAAACATTGATTTTTAGAGCTTTTTTAGCGGCTAAAATGTTGTTTTGAAGTCCCAAAATTGTAGGGGTTAGCCTTCCCTCCTTGTGTTTGTTTACTAGCCTAGCATGCTCCATGTTTTAGCTTTATTATTCTAGCTATGTTTAGCTTAATTCCAGCATGTTTTAGGACTAATTTAGCACTATTTTAGGACTGTTTTTAGCTTCTTGTTGCATTTGATCTTTGTATTGTATACTTGTAGTGCAATTGTCCTCATAGGTTTGGTGGTGTAGGCCTTAGCCACCATCCTATTTGAGTTGATGGCATTTATTTATGGCTTTCCTTACTTGTGATCACCTTTAATCACCTCTGCGACCTCCCTCTTTTCTTGGCTTTTGCTTTGCTTTGAGAGTTGTTTCAAACCTATTGTTCTTTTAAGCTTGCGATTGAGATTGTCATACTTAATGGTTTAATCCCTTTTAGGGGTTCATTATCAACGGCATGACATCTCTCTCATGCCTTAAGCCAACCCTTGGTTTGACACTTCTCTCTTTTAGAGAACTTAAACTCACTTTTGGACTTAATGAACTAAAGAATGGTTGGTAATTTAAAATGGAGTAATAAAATTGGAGAGTAAAAGTGATGCAAGGTAATAACTTGGTTGGGTTCAATCGGATGTTAATTGAATCCTTAAGTCTTGAGTCGTTTCATACTCATGAGTGATGCAAACGGCTCAAGATTTATTGTCAACTACT